GTGGTGGATGTTCCGGGTGTTCGGCCACAGATCGGTCTCGGTGCTGGACGGAGGCATGAAGCTCTGGGAGGCTGACGGACACCCGGTGAGCTCCGAGTACAAGAAGCCCGAGCGTAGAGACTTCCAGGCGACCCTGAACGCATCATGGGTGAAGAGCTACGAGGACGTCCTGGAGAACATCAAGACCAAGGAGGTCCAGGTGGTGGACACCAGGTCTYCTGGCAGGTTCAAGGGTACTGATCCAGAACCCAGAGATGGTGAGCAGAACTTTTTACTCTTTTTAAACAAACACTGAACAGAAGTTTGTTTGTTTTACACATTTCACTGTTTACATACTGTCTACTTCACAAATTGAAGGCAAAGCTCTAGGCTGCAATGTAAAAAGCAAGAAAATAAAAGATTTATGTTGGTGAGAAGAGAAGATGAGTTGGGGCAAGAAGTTAGTTTGTTGGGTGACTGAGAGGGTCTTAAGTGGTCTCGGGGGTGAGTGAATCGGGCTCTAGGAGTTATGGTTGGTATTAGGGGTTATTTAGGGAGGGGGTGAGGAGCTTTATTCAGGCAACTTGTGTTGTCAGCAACTAGAGTCAGGTTTATACATTACAACACACGAGACAGATTAATACTTACATCATTTTGGACATGTTTGTCTGACAAAGTGTTTAGTCGGCAGAAGACACCAGTGACAGCAGAATAAGTGTTTTTTTTTTTATTATTTGAACGATGAATCAGACGAGGCTCGTGTTGTTTGGGTGGACCCCCTTCCACACACAGACACCCAAAACTCAGTTTTCCAAAGGCTCTGTAAGACACTTGGTGTAACTCTACATCAATAGCCCAGAAGAGAAAAAAAACATTGGATGTTCTGTGGGATCGTTTTGAAAGAAAGAGCTTCAAAAAAAAAAAAAAAACTTTCAGCTCAATCGGTAAAATGTTTTTTTTAAAGTTTGAGCATTTTTAAATTCTAAATTATAGGATAATTAACATCACAAATTTCCTTTGACAGTCATGAAAACTTGTCATCCATCACAAAAATGGGCGGCTTACATTTCATTWGAGATCGCTATGAAATGTTTGAATGTTTTAGAAAGTACTTTCAGTGGTTGGATTAATATTGATCAGTTAAAGTCTTGATGCATCTCAGTTATCCAGGTAAAAAATCAAAAAGAAAAAAATAGTATAGGTCTTCTGGACGGGTTCTTCTCTAATGAAACG